CCAGATGCTATACTTTTTGATAGCTGGACACCATCAGCTTTGTTCGCCACATTTGCTTATGCACCCATTTGTCTTCAGTGATCCGTTTGACACCTCGTGATCACACAGGCTGATATGTTCTTTCATGTGGGCTTTGTTGCTTCTGAGCTAGATGGCCACTTGTTTGCCTTCATCAGCTTTAAAATTCTTAATGTAATATATACCCGTCACCCATGAGGCAACTTGTCTCATGGAAGTCGCATATGCAGACGGGGAGAACTGTGCTCAGCAGGGTTTTCAGTGGCTGATTTTGAGATAAATAGCCAGACTTTTCTTCCGAGGTGTGTCTGGGTTGAGTCCCTAGAGGCAATGACCCTTCCATCTTGATCGGACCCTCAGCCCCATAGCAGTGAATGGCCTGACCAATTCTGTTTAAATCAGAGTTTTCCTTTCTGAGTTGCACCCACCTATATTCACTGGATCCCATATCCACTCTTCCCATATGAATAGCATGACTCCTGTATTTTATTTTCTCCCAATTCACTGCCTTCTCATTCATTGTCATAGAACCAATGCTAACTCATAGAGTCCCTATAGGGCAGGGTAGAACTACCCCTGTGGGTTTCCAAGACTGCAACTCTTGATGGGAATAGAAAGCCTCATCTTTCTCCCATGGAGCAGCTGGTGGTTTTGAACTGCTGAACTTTTGATCACCGCCCAACTCATAATCACTATGCCACCAGGGCTCCCCCTTCAGTGCCTTAATCTGGTACAAATATAAAACAGAGGATAAAAAGAGGAAATTAATAAACACATGCTAAACACCTACAATGTTTCAGACCCCCTTGGTCCAAACAATTTAAGTAAACATGGAGATCTGTAAGTTTGGTAATATTGCCTCAATCTTCACAACTGGATACTAAGGCTCAGGTTAACATCGCTCCCAGTGCCAGGATTCTAAGGAATATACAGCACAAAAGTCCTATCTCATACTTTCTCCTACCCCAACTTGCCTACATAGTATATGGCATAAATTACAGAGATATAATTCAGATACTATCCATGTCGCCCTTTTGGGTTTTCGTATAATTCACTAGTTTATGTAATTGTCACTGCCATCCAATTCCAGAGCATGTCCATCCCCCTCCCAAAAGCCACAAACGAATTAATTAGATGGCACTTCCTAGATTCCCCTCCCATGGTCCTTGGCAACCACTTTGTTTTTCTTTTTGGTGGGGGGGGAACAAAATAATTTATTTACTGATGGTTGTCAACAGTGGCAATCCAGGCGACTACAAGCTATTTATTCGTATTTAGGGAGTTCAGCAGGTTACAAGATCAATATATACAAGCAATACTGCTTCTACTTTGACCAATTATAAAACCAAGGACGATTATAAAACTGCCTCACTGACAAGTGCAGTAACAACTGTGCCCCACCAAAAGGTGTGTGAGCTCCTACTTTTAAATGGTAAGGATAAAATACTAACAATATAAAGAAAAATACAAATAATGAGTAAGAAAGAAAAGACCACCATCGATATTTTAAAAGTCAGGTAAGAAATTTTTGTCATGGAACAAGCAAGAAATACCTGCACTTAGAAAAAACTCAGGTCGGGTCAAGAGGGAGGTCAACCGACCAAGTATCAAGTTCCATCCAGCAGGATCAAGATCACAATGGCAACCACTTTCCATCTCCGTAAAGTCTCCAAACTCTAACAATTTCACATAAAGACCAGCAAACAAAATGTGGCCTTAGGCATCTGACTTCTTTCCTTTAACAAGATGTTGTCCGGGCTCATTCGTGCATGCTGCCACCACACCACCATGGAGCACATTCCGATCCGGTAATCTTATCGATAGCATGTGTCCATGGATGGACAGATGAAATGTGATATTTTATTTACCCACTCATCCAAAGGAAGATTCAGGTTGTCTCGTCTCCTTAGCTGTTAGGGATGAAACCTGACTCCACTGCCATCCAGGCGATGCGGACTCATGGAGAACCAAAGGTCAGAGAAGAACTTCCCCTGTGCATTTCTGAGACTGTAGCTCTTTCCGGAAATAGAAGAAGCCTCGTCTTTCTCCTTCAGAGAGGCTGGTGGATTCGAACCACTGACTTCACAACCAGTTAGCAGCCCAACACATAGCCCCTACAACTACCAGGGGTCCGACTACGCCTAGAAACATTCGTGTACACACATTTTTGTGTACATGTAAAGGTTTTGAGTTTCAAACCTTAAACTCACTGCCATCGAGTCAATGGCAACTGACCGTGACCCTCTAGGGCAGGGTAGAACTTTCCCTGTGGGTTTCTGAGATGGTCATTCTTTATGGGAGTAGAAAGCCTCGTGCATATTTAACTTCTTGAAGAACTGCTGAACTGTTTTCAAAAGTGATTGTACCCTTTTCTATTGCCCCTTACCTGAACCCCATACATTGCCAGCAAAGCGAGAGAGTTCCAGTTTCTCAGACTCTGGCCAACACTTGTCATTTTGATAAGAACCACCCTAGTGGGGTGTGGAGTCCCTGGGTGGTGCACTCAGCTATTAACCAACAGGTGAGAGGTTCAAGCCCACCCAGAGGACCTCAGAACAGCCTGGCATTCTGCTGCTGAAAAATCAGCCACTATAAACCATATGGAGCGCAGCTCTGCTCTGCCACCCATGAGTCACCATCCGTCAGAGTCAGCTCCACGGCCCTGGGTTTGTCAGGGAGAGTAGAGTGGCGGTAACTCCTTGTGCTTTTAATTTGCATTTCCCTTATGACGAGCTGGAGGGTCACGAAGGGTGTGGCCTTTTGAGAATGACTAATGGGCAAGAGCACCGTCGTATGCACACCTGGGCCAGCTGTATAACTTCTTCAGAGAAATCTCTGTTCAGATCTGCTGATTTTTCAACGGGTATATTTGTCTTTTATGGCTGGGCTATAAACGTTCTTTACAGATCTGGATATTCCACACCTACCAAAAAACGACTTTGACTCAATCCCAGACTTTTCCTTTTCTTTCAGTTCACAAGGAATATTTCTTTCCTTTTTTTCCTCTCCTTCAGTGAGTACACCATAAAAAAGCAGAAGGGAGACACAAAAGCCATATTCTCTCTTTTTCTTAGTACAAGATAACCAGACGTCCCGCTTTTGGCGGGACAGTCCTGATTTTTGGCATTTTTTTAAAGTCCCAATTTTTGGAAAGAATGTATGACAAGCTAGGGAACGGTCTATTTGGTCCATATAGACCAAATTTTTCATCACGAACACACACACCCTCACCCCCAGTCAATGGTGTCCCGCTTTACCAATGTTAAAATCTGGTCACCTTATCTTAGTAGTTTCTTTGTGCTAGGGATGGTAGTGGGGGAATGCTAGGACCAAAATATTGTTTCTTCCCAAATAAATAAATATGAATCCCAAACCAGCCTCTTTCTAGTTCTAAACTAGTTGCAAAATGAACCAGGGATTATTAGGGAAATGTTAGCTTAAGAAGGAATGGAAGAAGATACCTACATTCCAAGAAAGACACTTCACACTGGAGCAAGGGTGTGAAGATTTTGCAACTTGCAATTCCACTTGTCCTACATGTAACTCTCCTCCATGGGCTCCTGCAAGTGACAGGTGCTGAGATGAGCCAGGGGCAACACCGTGGGGTCAGTATAGACTTCTTTTTTTTTTTTTCCACAGCTGGAATTGGCAAAAGATCACGGGTGACCGGTACCAAGGATTCATTCTTGGTGAAAACTTGGACCAAAATCCAGTCTGACAGCTCCTTTTAGGGAAGGAATGGGCTGGCGATTTACATGTATGACCTCATGCACAAAGCTCCAGCCTTGGAGCATATAAATAGGAGGGTGAGTTGTTCAACTTCCCCAGTTCCAGGCACAGGAGTAACCGGACCGATCAAGACCATGGCTGTCCGCAGTGCCACGCTGCTCTCACACGGGCTGCTTCTGTGCCTGGGGCTGCTGCTTTCGGCTGCCCTCTCTGCGGGCGCTGACGACGCCTGTGTGCTCTTCAATAAGCAGCGCACCACCATGGGCCCTCCTATCACGGTCAGCCCCGCAGTCTATGCCAGCAACACACGCTACGAAGGTGAGTAGAAAGCAAAGGCTCTGCTGCCCTTCTTATCTGAGGGGTGTTCCCACGGAAACCCTCCATTCGCTGCTGTAGCGCTCCCTGGGAAGTGGTGGGGTGGGGCTGTGAGGTATTTCAACATGTGAGAATGTGTTTGGGATGGAAGTATTTCTGCCTGTGCCCTCTGCTGAGTCCTTGAGGCCCCAATGCACAGGTTAACTGCACCTTAACAACAAAACACCTACAGCAAGTCCACTGGCTTGAGAAAATAAAATGGGCATTCTTATCCTTTAAAATGATGCTAATGTCATCCCAAGAAGTAGCCCTCTGAGAAAGGAGTGACTGCCCGGGGCGATGGTGTATTGCCCAAGCCCAGGAGGCACGGCTTCCGTTCAGTCCGTGGCTGGACCAGCCAGTGAGCTCTGCCGGTTGTCACGTTCCTTTGCTAGGAGGCCCCTGGACGGCAAAGAATGCAAGTGATTTGCTGCAGCTCTCACCACTAGTTAACCTCTCACCACTAGTTAGCCTCTCACCACTAGTTAGCTCTCACCACTAGTTTGCCTCTCGCCACTAGTTAGCCTCTCACCACTAGTTAGCTCTCACCAATAGTTAGCCTCTCACCACTAGTTAGCTCTCACCACTAGTTAGCCTCTCGCCACTAGTTAGCCTCTCGCCACTAGTTAGCTCTCACCATTAGTTAGCCTCTCACCACTAGTTAGCAGCAGAACCAGCACACAAATTCTGGTTTTTCCATTCCTAACTGCCTTTCTTCTAGTAAGATCTTATAAATGTTTTCTAAATATTCCTTTTTGGATCACCAGAACCTCAGGGTCAAGGAACGTGCTTCCTGGCGAGTTTCATCCTCACCACCACACTATGTCATCTGGCGCGTACCATGCATGAATGTATTTCTTCTTCGTGACAGCCTGCTGGGTAGACACGACTATCATTCCCATTTTATGGCTGAGACAACAGGGGAAACAGAGAGGCTAAAGGACTTTCTCGGATCACAAATGTCTTTGAGGGTGAATGCAAGCATTCTAGCCCCAGGAACCCTACCCTTACTGTGATACAATATTCTTCTCCATTAGTCATGAGAGCTGAGGTTTCTTACTGGGTACTTACTGTTCCAGAGGAAAATGCTCTTATTTTCCCAGTTTTACTGATGAAAAACTGAAGTTCAGGGAAGTTAAGGAACTTACCCAAGGGAACATAGTAAGGAACAGCTATGTTTGAATTTAAGTAACACTTTTCTTTTGGGGGCTGCCTTCCTTTTTCCGCTGCCCCTCCACTTGACCAAGTGTGATGTCCTTCTCCAGGGACTGGTCTCTCCTGACACATGCGCAACGGACATGAGACAGTCTCACGATCCTGGTGGCATACGCCCAAACGTGCCCAGCTTCAGAGGCTGTCCTCTAGTCTACTCTGTTACTCCGGCTTCCAGAACTCAAATCAAAAGTTGCAGAGACAACCAGGGTGCTGTCTGCTCCGCATCTTAATATTTCAGGCTTCACCCCACGAACCACTACAGAAAGCCCTCACATGCTCACCCTGGCTAGTTCCTGCATTTGTTTTTCTCATGGGGACTGTCCTTGAGTGTTCGGGTTCTGACAGCCAACTGTGCCCCACTTCCTCAGGCAGCAGACCTGGTCCTACCAGGGCAGGGAGGTTAATCTTGTCATTCAAGATGAGGACCAGAAGGGCACATGTGTCACCTCATGAATGGGGAAGGAGCTGGAGGTGTCAGACTACTGAGAGATGACAGTCCCTTCACTTAGACAGTGGTTCTCAACCCCTTTGGAGGCCAAATGACCCTTTCATAGGGGTTGCCTGGTTCATGACAGTAGCAAAGTTACAGTTATGAAGTAGCAACGAAAATAATTTTATGGTGGGGGGTGGGTCACCACAACGTGAGGAACTATTAAAGGGTCTTGGTATTAGGAAGGTGGAGAACCACTGACTTAGGAGGACATGTGTGTGGTGTGGCATGGCGCTGTTAGCATGGAGGCGGATAGCACAAGGATCTTAAGAAGATGGTGCACAGGGGATCCACGAGGTCCTGTGGTTGCTAGGTGCCATCCCATCGCTTTCCACTCATAGCGGCCCTGTGTGCCCCAGTAGGAAACGTGCCCGGTCCGGTTCCATCCTCACAGTGGTTCCCACGTGTGAGCCCATGGGTGCAGCCACTGTGTCCACCCGTCTTGTTGAAAGCCTTCCCCTTTGTCCCTGCCTCTCCACTTTATCCACCGTGGTGTCCTTCCCACGGGGCTGGTCCCTCCCCACAACATGCCCAAAGTGCGTGCGTGAGGCCGAGTCTCGAAATTCCCTGCTACTTTGAATATTCTTCCCCTCCGTCAGAGCTCAAGCGCATCGAATCTTCTCCGGGCTTCCTTCATCTCATTACCCTTTCTCCTGAAAGCAGGCAGAGGGGAGGAAGGAGAGTTACAAGACCCCCTGAGAGGGATCGGGCTGGGGCGAAGGGAAATCACAGCCATGACAGAGGCCCCAGGACAGAGTCGAGGGGGAGGAAGAGGGGAGCGAAGGCTCACTCTGTGTCATGCCGGTCCCCAAACGTCACGCCGTTTGATCTCAGAAAGATGGAACTGTGCTCGAGCCCCGTGCTATGATTCCCTGTGGAACGGCCGCAGCAGAGAGTCAAAATCTCGTGCCCACGGAGACGGGAAGTGCCAGGCCCCACAGCTGTGACATGATGTCCTTGTAGAGTGTCATCGCCCCGCTCAGCAGGCGCACCTGGAGAGGCCGATGAGTAAATACTTTCACAGGCAACCTCCTCTCCTCATTTGGGCCTCTCATTATGTTTTTTATTTCAGGCTGTGTGTTAACATTGGTAAGTCACATGCCGATGGCTTGGCAGCTCCCAAAAGACATCTTGGGCAATATCTGAGAATAAGATTTCTGCCTCTGGCTTGATACCAGTGGGAAAACCCCACCCTGGGAGGACATTTACATGACGACTGCTGTGTACACACCTGCTCCCACTTTTACATCTCAGGACAAGAGGGAGGTAGCTCACTTGTCTTTTCTTTTTTAATATACATAAGTGGTTTTTTAAAATCATTTTACTGGGGGCTGGTACAAGTCTTATCACAATCCATACATACATCCATTGTATCAAGCACATTTGTACATTTGTTGCCATCATATTCTCAAAACATTTGCTTTCTGCTTGAGCCCTTGGTATCAGCTCCTCATGTTTCCCCTCCCTCCCCGCTCCCCTCTCCTTCAAGAACCCTTGATAATTTATAAATTATTATTGATTTGTCATGTCTTACACTGTCCGACATCTCCCTTCACCCCCTTTTCTGTTGTCCATCCCCCGGGAGGAGGTTATATGTAGATCCTGGTGATCTCACTTGTCTTTTCTCCTGGAGCTTCAGCTTCAAGGCTAGCTGCTGAACTTTAGCAGTCCATCAGTGGGCCTTATATAGGGCCCTCCGTGTGCTCAGCACCAGGCCGGCTAGACACTGACCCACATGACAACCGTGTGTGACGCAAGCCAGACGCTCTGTAAGTGTCTAACTCTACAATTGAAAAAAATACGATTTCAAAAACTAAACTCACTGCATGGAGTCAATGCCGACCCTATGGGACAGGGTGGAACTGCCCCTGTAGGGTTTCTGAGACTGTCGCTCTTTCCAGGGGCAGATGATCTCCTTTCCCCCCTAGGGGGAAGACAGGCTGCCCCAAGAGTGGGATGAAAGATGGCAAAGTGGGGCAAAGCCATGGAGGGTCACAAAGCTCCTGTGCTTGGTCCTATAGTTGACAGGAGAGAAGCAGAAATGTCCTGTCACGCCAGAAAACAAGGCACATGTTGGAGGTTGGAGGGAAGAGCGTGGCCTGCAGGAAGTAGTGATGGAAGAGGAAACCTGGGCTGGCAGTCAATAACTGCAAGGGGAGGAGCCCAGGTAATCCAGGTGCCCGCAATGGATTCTCAGGGGAAGGAGGAAGACTCGAACCGAAGTGCCATAGGGAACCCAGCAAGCCCCTGCCATCAGTGCTGACGGACTGTGGAGACTCTACATCTTTATGGCTGCAGACAGCCTCGTCTTTCTCCCTCCGAGGGGCTGGTGGGTTTGAACCTCGTGATAAACGGTGCCACCGGGGGAAGCAGAGCCCCTTTGAGGAAGTGGCCGGCTAGATGACTATCTGGATGGCCCTCTCATGAGTCACCTCCACATTCCCCTGATGTACAGATCTGTGACAGATAGCAGCGTCTCGAGGAGCTGCCCGTGGGATCGGGTCAGCTGACCTCAACTGGAAAAAAGACTAAGACAAAAGAGCAATACCATCTGCTACAAGCAATATCACGAGCTATCTACTCAACACCCACCATGTGTTCAAATATTTACATGTTCACTGGAATCCCCCCAGGAACCTTTCCAAGTAGGCATGTGTCATAGAGCACCAGCTCCGTGCCTCACTGCCTCCAGTCAGTTCTGGCCCACAGTGACCTGATGGAAAAAGAACGGTCCATTCTCCACTGTAAATCTTACAGGAATGGAAAGCCTCATCTTTGGCTTTGAACTGCTGACCTTGTGCTTGCCAGTGCAACACACTGTGACCCATATAACAAAACAGAAAACGCACTGTCATGGAGTCAAGTCCGACTCCTGATGACCCTGTAGCACAGGGTAGAACTGCCCCTGTGAGTTTCCGAAATGATAACTCTTTATGGAAGTAGAAAGCCTCTGCTTTCTCCCACACAGCGGCTGGTGGCTTCGAGCTGCTGACCTTTCCGTTAACAGCCCAATACATAGCCATGACACCACTAGGACTCCTACAGTGAGGGACTTAGAAGGAGACCGGGAACATTGTGGGCCCTCGGTAACTATTTATGGAGTGAAGGGTGCACACTGATGAAATGACTTGCTCCTAAATGCTAGAGCCAGAATTTTCAATCCCGGATTGTGCTGATCCCGTTGTCCTGCACGGTCGATGTTCGCTGCTTCTGTGAAGTAAAATCTCTGAAAACAGTTCAGGTGGCTGAGAGGACACTGGCGAACAACAGCCTAGCCTGGAGAGACTCATGCTGCTGCTACTGCTGCGCATTGTCATCCAGTCCAGCAGAGTCACGGTACCCCTACGGCCAGACTGAAATCGTCTTTGGAAATCCCCACCACCACTATCCATCAGAAAGCTGAATTTGGGCTGCTTCTGCCTCCAGTAGAACTAAGAATTCAGCGAGGCCCCCTGTGGTTAATACTAGGCTAGATCGTGGGAGAAACCCCACCTGACTGGAGATGATGAGGAAATCCTGAGGGCCTGTTGACGGGCAACCGGATTGCAGCCCCCGTGGCACAGAGACCCCCTTCCCCACCAGCAACAGAGACCAGACCAGGAGCTTTGACATTTGGGAGGCTGGTCAAGGTGATTTGTTTTGCCACCATCTTACTGCCTTCCACCCATAGCGCACTTCCCAGGGCACCCATCACTCATGACCCCACACGCTCACGCAGAAGAGGAAAGAGGGGCTTTATGCCCAGGCCCTCGGGCCCAATCTGTAGCAAAATCAGTGCCAAAGTACAGGTCGTTTTACCCACCTTTTACCCTAGAAAATTTGGAGAGCACAAGAAAGCACTAGGGGGGAAATGTTTCAATCATCTGTCATTCCACTAACAGAAACACTGCCACCGTCCGTAGTCGTGAGGGGCAGGTGGGAGGGGAGACAGGAAGAGTCAATGCTTAGACATCAGAGGTTAAGTTACGACGGTGGAAACTTTGGGGAACAGATAAGGGTGATGGTTGTACAGCAGGATAAGCGCAGTCCATGTCACCAAACTGTCCCTGTGGTTGCTGTTGTTAAGGGCGACTGTGTCCAATGGCACTATGTCTGGAGTGGTCCCGTGTGCCACAGAGGGAGCACTGTGCCATCCTCACAGTTGTCTTTATGTTTGACCCATCGATGCAGCCACTACCACACCATCGCGTTGAAAGTCTCCCTCTCCTTGGCTACCCGCTCCTCTACCAAGCATGATGTCCTTCTTCGGGAGGACTGCTCTCTCCTGCTAACATGTCCACTGTGCATGTAGACATTTGAGAAATATCTTCTTTTGTTACCTACCTGCTTAACACAATTGTTAACATTACCTCAGCTAAGAACTCCTGTTTCCTTCCCGACCTTTTCTGTCTTACGGAAGTGGAAGCTCCTGTTTTGAAACTTGCTCTTCCCGCACATCGCTGTTATTCCCCGACCCCCGACCCCTTTATCACTGTCTTCATATCGATGGCTGATTTATTCCTTATCATTTTCTCTAGTCACCGTCCCTGTGAACGACAACACCGTCTCTGTGTACCTGCGAGCTCTAGACAAGAGCTATAAGTCAGTCGGCACCTGGCAAAACACCAGCCAAGAAGTCCAAGGGTGTAAGGGCACTGGCATATATAACCAAGAAACCTTCAACGGCACATCCTTCCAGGCGAACTGGCTGTCTCCAAACTTCTCAGATGTCACTAAAGTCAAGATACAGTAAGAACCTCTCTATATAGGATTTGCTTTGATCTTTTACCATTTCACCTTAGGGGTAAGTGGTTTTAACTTGACCTTGTTCACCAGTTCGCCAGTTTGGGTCAACATAAAGAATATACATCGGAAGAACTAGACAGCCTATGTGATTCCTAATCTCTCGCCTCATGGAGAGAGCATTACCAAAAGGACTCATGTGGGAACTGTGAGCAGAAAGTTGATGGTACTGTAATACCACTGTCCAGCCTGCACCACCCTCACCGTTGTTCTTACATTTGAGCCATTTCTGAGCTCACACAAATGCATGCACGCAGATTCTGCAGGGAGGCCACCTGGGGACTCGTAATACAGTCTCAGTGAACCCTCTCTTCCAGCTGGGGATTTGTCACCAGGTTTATTTTCGAAACCAGGTGTTGGGAGGTACTTATGCCTCTGATTGCCATTTTGCTCTGGGAGTGCAGGTCTGACCAGTATGAACAGCCTCCAAGTCTCTGTGGGTGGTGGGGGTGGTGATGACGTGATGACAGAGCCGAGCCATCCTGGCCTGGTTGGACCCAGTGGGTTTCAAGGGGAGGGCTGTTAAGCTCACAGAGTGGCTCCCAAGAGCAGAACCTAAAGGAAGCTGCTTCAAATCCAACCTCCTGGAGACAGCAACTGCTTAGAAGCCAGCCAAGGCTAATGAGGAAAATCACCTGCCTCTCACCTCACCTCATTAAAGCTTTGCCCTCCTTACAACAACAAAGACCAGCCGTGCCAATCTGCAAGTGAAACAGCACACCCTACTGATAACATCTCCAGATGCTACCCCCACCCCCTCACCTGTGAGGTACTGGCCCCTCTGCTTGTTGACGATGTAAATTCGTGGCCAGAATCAGCCTGGCTGATCCAGGGCAAGGAGCACCCTATGTTAAGTGGACACAGGAAACCCAGGAACGCCCTTGTGCTGGGTCTTGTGTTGTGCAGAGGACACAAAGGAGGTGTAAAGAGGTCCTTGCCCATAGGGCAGTGGTTCTCAACCTTCCTAATGCCAAGACCCTTTAATATAGTTCCTAATGTGGTGGTGACCCCCAACCATAACGCTATTTTCGTTGCCACTTCATCACTGTCATTTTGCTACTGTTATGAATCGGGCAAGCCCTGTGAAAGGGTCATTCGAACCCCAAAGGGATAGCAACCCACAGGTTTAGAACCACTGCTATAGGGCTTCATAATCACTAATTATACAGAAATAATTACTGAGGTTAAACATCACTTCCTCAAAAAAGCATTCCCTAAAGCCCAAGACCAAGATAGGGCTCTCTGCTTACCATCCACTACTCCCTCCAATATGTGATTAGTTACTTAATTTGTTACTTAGTTTAAGTTGGTGCTTAAAACCTTTCTTTCAAAGGAAACCCTGAGTGTGCACAAGGGCCACTGTCCCTTCAGCACCAAGTGGCGTGGTTGCCAGGTAGAACACTTGTATTGATTCTACATTGCTTGGAGGAATAGGCTTTGATGTAATACTGGATCCTCTGATTTAATAACAACAAACAAGCTGTACATGTTATTTAACAAACATTAGTAAGCACCTACTGGGTGCCAGTAAGAAAGAATTGACAACAGAACCTGCCCTCAAAATATGGACACTCCAGGAGGGGGAGGATCCTCAGCAAGCACGTGCTTCTCCAGTGGAGATGTGTCTGTGTTGTGACATCCAGGAGAAAAGACCACAATAATATCAGTCTCTTCTGTACTTGACCCTAAGATCCCCCACAATCTTGGTCCCAATGACCTCTTCCATTCACCAACCCCATCGAGCTCCTCCCTCACAGGCAGGTACACACCTCTGCTCTTTTGTTCAAGGTGCCCTGCCTGGAATGCCCATCTCTGTCGCATCTGCCAACAGACTTAAGTCTAGACCAAGATCAAGTACAGAATAGACTAATCTAAGTCATCTGCTAGTTGTATGGTAAAGAGAGCAAGGGGAAAATTTATAGGCTAGGGTCCTCAGAGAAGGCTTGCCTCTGAGAAGGCAAGCATCTGAGGTGAACTTGGGAGTCTCACAAGTGAGGTCCTCACCACTCTCTCTGTGATTGTCCTTTACAGAGTCATCACTATCTACAATGACCAAAATGCGTCCTATTCTTATCTGCAGCTGGAGAGTACAGGTAAGTCTCCTCAGCTCATTTCTATCTGACAGGCAACTCCATGGGCCTGAAAATTTCCTCTGTGGCTGCCCTGAAAGGGGGGCATCTTCTAATCATGCATTTAGGTCTCTGAGTGGCTCAAATAATTTGCACTCATCTGCTGACTGAAAGATTGGCACTCAAACTCACCTGGTGGTGTCATGAAGGAAAGGCCTGAGGATCTGTACCCCCAAAGGTTACAGTCCCATGGAGCAGAGAGACTCTGTAACATTTGGGGTCACCATGACCCACCATGAATCAGAATCCACCCAACTGCTATGTTGTTTTGTTTTTAATTATGTATTCCCCAGATGTCAGTTTATGCCTCCCTAAGATCGACAGATTCGCTCAGCCTCTCATCCCATGCCCTCCCCAAAGTTTAGAGAACAAAAACCCTTCCCCAAGATTTCTTCAAATCTTCACAATCCCCTCAGCCTCCCACGGAAGCTATTTCAACATCACAGAGATACAGACAGGAAAACCAGCTCCTTCTTCAAAGTGCGCAAAGGCTTCTCAGTCAAAGCCTGCATGGGCACAGCAACTTTTCACAGTTAAAGTTAAACCCAAGGTTAAAGTGGGGAGGAGGAGGGGAAGGAGGAGTGGTTCAAAGAAGAAGGAGTTTAGTCATAGAAACAGTCATGATTTTATTACTCTTTAAAGTAGCTTTTGGACACCACCACACCACAACCAAAATTTTCCTTTGGCCTTGCATGGGTTTTAGTTCACACCATCCTGAAGCCCCTTGCCCCTCTCCCCTTCCCCCCTCTACTCTGTCCCTTTTTCTTTCTCTTACTTTCTTCTTGGGAGTTAAGTTTTAGAAACTAAAAGTCAGAGGAGATAGGTACGTTTCCTAAAGCTATACTGAAAGTAAACAGCAACTCTAATACAATTACCCCCTCCTATTTGGATTTTATTATTTATAATTCTTGGATCACATGGGCCGGTGTGCTTCTATCAGGTGTAATTAGCTGACATCTCACTCAGGTAGCTGCTTGTTTTAAGACCCCAGACTCTATTCTTTCTGATAGCTGGGCATCATCTGATTTCTTCACCACACTTTGCTACAGCACCCATATCTTCAATGATCTCTTCATAAGAGCAAGTATGAAGTAGGACCATGTCATAGATCAGGGCTTACCATTAAGTGTGAGCTCAAAATCCATTCATTTGGATTTTGGCTTATATTGGTTTATATATGTTACATATGTTCCTGGGTCCACATTAGGGACAGCATTATCATTTTATTGGAGGATATAATAAATAATCTCCATGGGACATACGGTCGTTCTATTAAAAGTATCATTAATTTAGCCACTGGCATAGAATGTAAAATAATATTGATAAAAGCAAAGTATCTATATACAAGACTACTTTTTTTTAACTAAAATGCATGCATTGTTGAATTGTACAGATTAAAATTTAAGTGACTGGACGGTCTCTGTACAAACAATGATGGTTGGAGAACAAAACTCTCATTAGCACTCATTCCCTAAGGCAGACTATGCCTGCTGGACTAAGACATGTCGTGAGAAAGGAAAAGAGCGTATGAAAATATCAAATACACGTCTGTCTCAAGTCTCCAGTGAGGCTCGACTCTCTACTAAGCTCCATGCTAATAAAATCCAATTTCACACAGAGAAAAAGGGGTTGTGTTTAGACTTTCGGGCTCAGTGGGACGGCAGAGGAGCATCCGCCCAGGAATATGCTGAATGAGATAAGACAGTGCCACAGAACCAGACGGCACCCTTCAGGCAAGCAGAAAGGATGAAGGCCCCACCTGAGTCAATCACGATGTTTCTTTTCCCTTTTGCTTCTTTCTTATCCTCATCGCTCTGGAAGGATCCTAGCTCACAGTGACCTAAAGGACAGAACAACTGCCCGTTGAGTTTCCTAGGCTACTGTACTTACAAAAGCGGACTGCCACGTCCTTCTCCCATGGAGCGGGTGATGGGTTTGAACCGCTGACTAGTTAGCAGCTGAGCACTTTGCCTCTTCCTTATATTGCTCTCCGTATCGTTCCTTATATTGCTCTCTGTATTGCTCCCTGCGTGGTGCAAATGGGGAAGTGCTGACTACGAGGTGAAAGGCTGGTTGTTGGACACCACACTGAGTTACCGTGGGACATCGAGTTGGTCACCTGCTTCCAAAAGGTCACAACCTTGAAGACCCAATGTCGAATGGTTCAACTTTTCCCATACGGGTCACTATAAGCCATCCTAGACTCAGCAGCAGCATATCCATTCTGCGTTTTCTAAGATCAGACCATTTCCCAGGGCTACAGGGCTGACGCTCTCTGCCAGCCAAGCAAGCCAAACTCCTGCTGCGCGAAAAGGATCTGCACCTACAAGGGGCTTTCTGACTCTTAGACCCCACAGAAAGATTCAGAACTGGGATGACATCGTTCCCTCCCCATGAAGCCGAGAGAGAGGGCAGGTCTCGGTTCTCACAAGCTTCCCAGGCAACTCTTAAAATCAACAAGAAAAACAAAACTGTGTCCTTCTGAATCATATGTGTACTGACATTAAACAGTCATATGAAGAATATGCAGACACAGTCTAACCACCCCATGACAAATTCAACAGCTATGTACATTCAGTCAGTTTTGTTCCCCAGCACCACCACACATAGATGTTACAATGAAGAACAGTGCAGACCTTAAGGACAAGAAATGTCTCTTACTTATGTTGTTCTTTGTATTCTGTATCCCCTAACATGACTCCTCCTCTACATACAGTTGTACTTGACAATTATGTACGGAATTTTCCCCATGAATTTTGATGCCCGTGTTCTGCCAGATTAGCCTCCTTTTCCTAAATCTCACCCATCGTCCAACACAAATTCTAATGCCATTGTGGTGGTGGGTATTTTCCAGTAATGACGCCAACCATGACCCTCCCGAGTGTGACCAGCCCAACTATGACCAGCCAGACTGCGGCCAGCCAGACTGGGACCCGCCAGACCGTGGCCAGCCAGACCAACCAGACCACAACCAGACAGGTCACAACCACCACTGGGAAACGAACCACGAGCATCAGTTTTGGCAACAAAGTTTACAGCAGCCCCATCAGTAGTGCCATTCAGATCCTGCTCGTCTTCCTCACCAGCCGACTCCTCTTCTGAAAGGAAGCGAGGAGACATTGCCCCTGAGCCCCACTGCACCTTCCCATATCCCGCTCCAACTCAGTGCTCGGACCTGTTTCAAAGACGGCTTGACCTCCTTTTATGTGCAAGCTCTACCGCCACTACTTCTGATCAAAATGGAAATCTGAGGTCACATGGTAGAGGGTAGTGGGTAGCCAGTCAACTCGGTGGCGGCCTTGAGTCGCCAGATGGTCAACTGACATTTTTCACAACAGAAAACTATGCTTTCTGTGACTACCTAGATCTGGCCTGGTGGTACAATGGTTAAGTGCAGGGGTCCTCCAACTACGGCCCAGGGCCCACATGCGGCCCGTGGACGACACTTATCCAGCCCGCCGGGTGTTTTGTCCCATTTGTTTCTTTACTTCAAAATAAGACATGTGCAGTGTGCATTGGAACTTGTTCATAGTTGTTTTTTTTAAACTATAGTCCGGCCCTCCAATGGTCTGAGGGACAGTGGTGAACTGGCCCCCTGTTTAATGTTTGAGGACCCTGGTTAAGTGCTAATTGAAAGGTCAGCTATTCCAACCCAGCCAGTAGCTCTGCAGGAGAAAAGATCTGGTAATCTGCTCCCCTGCCGCTCACAGCCTGGGAAGCCCTCTGGCAGGTCTGCTCTGTCCTGTAAGGATGCTGTGAGTCAGAATCAACTTGATGAGACACAACAAAGCTAGCTTTTGTGTTACCTAGACTTCTACCTCTCAGTTTAGCACTACGATATTTAATTCCACAATCAAAGCTTCCGTTCACTATCCAGTGACTCTTTTGTGCCCCAACTCTCCATGTAGAGTTTTTCTAGCTTCTGTGCGTGACTAAGGGCAAGAGAGAGTACAGATTGCCCTGATGCTACAGGCAACTTCTCATTTTATCAACACCAGGGGAGCTTTGAAGGGGGGGAAAGAGGAATGTACCCTGGTTGAGCAGCCAATGATATGACAAGATCATTGGATAAAGACATTTTTCTATATTAAACCGAATAAATTATATTTCCAACATTAATAGTGGGTTATATGCCAATGTAAATCTTCCATGCATGATTGTTTTTCTTTTAATTAAAACCTTGAGAATAGTATCTATTTTTTCATTTATTCAGACATTAAACGAGTAATAGAATGATGAGTATGTGGATGTTTTCCCTTTTTTTCCACATCATTTTACTGGGGGTTCTTACAGTTCTTAAAACATTCCATACCAAAAAAATTAAAAACAAAAAACATTCCATACATTAATTGTATCAAGCATATGTTGCCATTATCATTTCCAAAACATCTTCTACTTGAACTCTTTTGGTATAAGCTCCTCTTTTTCCCCCTCCCTCCCCCACTCTCCCACCCTCGTGAATCCTTGATCAATTATATTGTTATTAGTATTTCATATTTTACACTGTCCATTGTCTCCCTTCACCTACATCTCTGTTATTCATCTCCTTTTGGGAGGGAGGTTATATATATCCAATCTTGTGATGGGTTTCCCCCCTTCTCACCCTTCCCCCTCCCTGACCATCTCATGATATCAATACTCCCATGATTGTTCCTGAGGGGTTTATCTGTCCTGAATTCTATGTGTTGAGAGCTCTTATCTGTACCAATGTGTGTTCTCTGGTCTAGCCAGATTTGTAAGTTAGAACTGAATAATGGGGGGGGGGGCAGGAAGTATTCAGGAGCTAGAGGAATGATGTGTGATTGTTTGGTGCTATACTACACCATGGTTGAAACATCCCTTATACCACTTCTGTGAGAAGGTATCCAATTATCTCCAGATGGGCTTTGGGTCTCCACTCCAACCCCCCTCTTTCACATCAATATAGTTGTTTGTTCTGTATCCTATGATACCAGATTCCTGATTCTGTCGGCACCTCATGATCACACAGCCTCGTGTGCTTCTTCCATGTGGGTTTATTTGCTTCCCTGCTACATGGCCACCGGTTTATCTTCAAGCCTTTAAGACCCCGCTATTTCTTTTGATAGCGGGCACCATCTGCTCTCTTCACCACATTTGTTATGCACCTATTCTGTCACGAGGGTGTGTATCAAAGAGTGCCAGGTTATTAGAACAAAGTGCTCTTGTGATAAGGGAGTCCTTGAGTAGAGGCCCAAAGTCTGTCTGCTGTCTTAATACTTATATAAATATATGTACATTGGCCTATAACCCTTTCGTTATAAATATATTTACATATATACATTTTACATTTACATATATACATGCCTATAGCTATACCTCTATAAATAGCTTTTGTCTATTTCTTTCTTCTATTTCCTTTACTTTCCTCTATTTCCTATCCCAGTATCATGCTCACCCTCCATTTGGCTCTCAGCATTTCCTCTTAGATGCATTGCTCTTGATCAAACCCTACCCAGCATTATATGCTCTCCTCACCATCAATTTTAGGTCTCTTGTTCCCTTATCTCTGCATTTGTTGCCTCCCCCCTCTTCCTCCCTGATCCCTCCTCTCCCATGTCCCCCCAGAACCACTGACCCTGTACTTTTCTCCTCAGGATTGTTTGTCCTATCCATCTTATATAGATTAGACATAGGGCAAAAGAAAAACAAAACATTATAAAACAAACAAAACAGAACAGAACAAGAGAGGGGAAAAAAGCAATAGCTAACTCCAGGTCTGTCTGCTGACCCTTATGAGTGTTTTCTAATCAAGTCGGATGAGGTGCCAAGCCCTGTTCCCCAAGTCAGAAGTCTGTTTTCAGGATTCCTTGGGGACTTGGTTGCTTTGCTCCCCTTGCTGCTCTGCTGCACTCCCTTAGTTTCATCCCGCCGTGCAAGGGGCACCAGGCACACTTTTCACACAATGTCTCCCGTGCTGTCCCCGGTAGCGCTATGGGTCACTGAGGAAATGTCCTGTCTCATGATGGGGTCTGCCCTACAGTCCTTTCTATGTACTGGCTGCTGCGAGCAGGGATGTCGTCCCTGGGGCTTGGTGGGTCATGATGAGGTTCTCTCTCTTTCGCTTGCTCTCTCTCTTAGTTCACTCCCATGTGATCTAAATAGATCCACCTTTCTCCCCGGGCTATATCTTCAGTGCTGTCTCCTGTGTTGCTTTCTTCTGGGGAGGGAGTCAACATGGCTTGGCTTGGGCCCGCCCCCATCATCCTCTGTTCCATGCCAGTGTATTGCCCTCAAGACCTGGCACTCTGGGATGGGATCTGGTCCCTCTCTCCCTTGCCTGTGGAGACATAAACAATACCCTCCCCATGGGTGTATTAGTGCCCTGTTTCCCATCACCCTTGTTTTCTTTTTTCTTTCTTTTCTTTTTTCCCCCTCTCTTTTCCCCTCCATTTTAGTTGGCTTCCATTTGCATCCCTGAGTTGGGTCAGACCCCTGCCAAAGTGCATTAAGTAGCTTGTCCCCTATGCCCATTGTGCTTCTTGAGCTTACCTCAGTGGATTCATGTAGTACTTGTCCCTTTGTGCTTGGCTGACTTCGCTTAGCATAATTTCCTCCAACTATTCCCATGAGGCAATGTGCTCCATGTGTTTGTCGCTGCTTTATAGGGCTGCATAGTACTCCAGTGTGTGTGTGTGTGTGTGTGTGTGTGTGTGTGTGTGTGTGTGTGTGTGTTGGAGTTTTTTAATCCATTCATCAATTGATGGAAATTTAGATTGTTTACAGGTCTTTGTGATTGAGAACTGTGCCATGATGAATACTGGAATGCAGATGTCTGGTCATTGCCTATGTCTTACTTGTTCTGAATTTATACCCAGTGGGGCGATTTCTGGATCATATGGTAGCTCAATTTCCATTTGTTTTATGTATCGCCAAAATGATTTCCATAGTGGTTGCATGTATCTACAGGACCACCAGCAATGGATGAGAGTTACTATCTCACCACACCCTCTCCAGGACTTGTTGCTTCTGATTATTTTAATTGCGCTATCTTTGAGGGTATTGGGTGGTATCTCATAGTTGTTTTAATTTGCATTTTCCTTATGGCTGATGATCTGGAACATTTTCTCATGTGTTTATTGGCCGTTTGGAATTGCGCCTTGTGAAATTTCTGTTTAGGGCCTTGTTTGGGGTCTTCATAGGTGTCTAATGATCACCTGTTTCCTTTCAACCTCCTCTAGGAGGTCTTTGCGGGCATGGGAGGAATAATCTCCCTGTCTCTGAATCTAGCTACCTAACATAAACATTACTAATTAGTATAATCCCTTCCCCTTCGTTGTGGGCTGCACCCACACCAGAGGGGAAGGAAGAGACTTGGACTTGCTTCTAAGGAACAAAATAGAGAGAGAGCGATGGGGTACCACTTCCAGGGTTAGGCTGCAGAAGTGTGTGACTTTCTGTTGCCAGCATGCATACTGCACGCATGCTCCTCTGTCTGCTCACACTCTCCCTTTTGCTGGTACTCTCCCCTGCTCATTCTGACGAAGCAAGCTGCCACGCTCTATGGGGTGCCTTGCAAGCTGCCTTGTCCTGTAGGGGTGGCCTACAGGACAAGGATCACCGGAAGGAAGTAGGAGGAAAGAAGGCCTCAGTTCCCCAAGCCTGGAGGAAACGGTCTCCTGCCACAGTCACGTGAGTGAGCTAGGAAATGGATGCTCCCTAGTTAAGCCTCGACTTGGTTGCAGCCTGTGATTGACCTTGGACCAGGGGTCCCAGTTAAGCCACACCCAGGTTACTAGCCAGCTCAGTCATAGCATAATAAATGTGTATTGTTTTAAGCCACTATCTTTTAGGATAATTTGTTGTGATACAATGGATAACTAATACAGTCTCTCTGTAAGGCACTGCAGTCCGCTCTACTCCTCTGCATCCATTTCCACTGCCCCAACCATGATCCAATGCTTCCTCTCTAGACTCGTGCAACTGGTTTCCTAGCTTTAATCAACAGCTCATTAATACCAGAGTAGTGTTCGACATTAGGCTGCGAACCACAAGGTCAGCAGTGTGAACCCACCAGCCGCTCTGTGGGAGAAAAATGAGGATTTCTGCTCCCATAAAGATTTACCACCTCAAAAGCCCTGTTGTACTCTATCCTACAAGGTCTCTCGGAGTCAGAATTGGCAGTGAGTGTGAGCTTGGGTCTATCTCCATTCTCTATATCCAAGCTGGTTTCCCGAGATGCGACCACACCTCTCTGCTCCACTCATTATCATCCCAACTATGCTGTGCACTTTCCAACCTCAGTAGTGACATTTCACCCTTTCAGTACTCATTCCTTTCTGGAATTCCAGCCCTTCATTCCCCATTCCATCACTCTGAGCACAGTTCAAGGCTCACGTCCTCCAGGGAGACCTTCCAAACCTCATCTTCCCATGACAACCTCTGTCCTTCTCTAAATTAATATCTACTCATTTGGTATTTAAAGCTAGAGATACACATTCCAGGATCAGGCCATTGCAACTTCAGAAAGAATCAAGCACAA